ATCTTAGAGCAGTACTTAGATTCACAGTCTCGGCAGATTTTTTTACTTACTTCCAAATTATTGTCTGGTTGACTTTGGTGAACTCCACCAATTAGTTTGTTCTAAGTGTCCAATTCACATCAGAAAATCATCTAAGAACTGAACATTAGATTCCATGCTCGCTCACAACACAAAATTGTCATTCATTCAAGGAAGAACTATCGTTGCACAAAGTTCTATCGCAAACCTTTTTCAATTCGCCACTACTGCTTCTCTTTCAGATGATCACCTTTTTATGTTTGTAAAGCCCAATATTTCATAGAAAATGGAATCAAGCATTTTAGTGAGGACATCCAGCGACTGCAGCGAGATCTTGTCGCTCGCGATGCACAAGTCTCCGAACTTCAGCGACGGATCTCTGCATATGAGCGACGGGGTGGGGACTCTCCTATTGTCGTAAGCGGTAAGTTCTGCTCGTAACTTTCTGTGACATACCCCATATGTGTTCTTTTGCTCTCACCATACTCTTCTATGCTTCAGGGCGTAGACGGTCGTCTTCGCGGTAAGTGTACTGTCTGATGTGTAGTTCTGCTCGACAGCATGCGGAGTTAGCAGCTCTTGTAATTATAGCGTGCTCTAATCCTCTCTTACCTTAGTTTCTTTTCTTAAGCGCCGCATAGCTGCTTGAGGCTTCCAAGATTTGATTGCCTGCCACCTTTTTGTCACCTTCAGTTTCGAACACTCCTTTGTTTCTCATGCGGCTTTTATTCCCTAACAGCAATATTGAATTTCAGACAAGGACGAGTCACCCTTGGAAGTACAGTGCCCAGAGAAGCCCAACAACAACTCAGCAGTCAGGTATAGGAAAATGAACAAAAGCAGACGCACCGGTAAGCAGTTTGAGAGCAACAATATCCATAAAAAGAGTTTTACTCTGCATTTAGATATTCGCTTCCACAGTAACCCCGTAATCCCAATGTTAGAGGGAGTCCCTGAGTACCTTCTTGAGGACGTCCGTCGCTCCCTTGCAGTACCCGTTAGCGAAAGGCGAAAATTCTTTGAAACTATTGCCGAATATAGTACCCCGTTTTGAGTCCCTTGTGCTGGCTTTGTACAAATACCTGTGGTGCTCCGCAAGAGTGTCGTACTTCAATGAGATTATTGCATTGTACAACAAAACAGATCGAGTGAACAGATGAACTGTATCTATAATTCTTTCTTGATGTACATTTGTTTTATCCCAAAAAGG